TTTTAAACATGATCTTATCTATCCTTCCTAATATTTCTGTGAAGCAGTAGGAAAAATCTCATTGCTCCTTTAGGACACATCAGAAGCTAAAGGCAGATGAATCGTCAGGCTGCCAAGAGCTCTCCTGAGTTAGTCTGTATTTTCCCTTTCCACCCTCTCACTTCCCTCCAAGTGACAGAAGGTGAGAAAAGTGTTGAGCACTTTGTGCGAATTCCTTTTTAGTTGATGAATAGAGAGCAGAGATAGTCTTTCTCCTGGAGAGGAGGGCTCTTTAGCTGAAGTTGCTTATGTTTGAGAGGAGCGTGGTGGGACAGGGCATGAGCCTATTCACCTGGCTCTATGAGACCTTGAAAAAATTACCTAATTATGTCCAAAACTCTAGTTCTTTATCTGAAAACAGGGTAGCAGATCACGAATGCTAGCAATTTTTGTTTGTTTGTTTGTTTTGTCTCACTGTGCAGCTCAGGCTGGCCTTGGGTTCACTCAGTAGCCCAGGCTGGCATCAAACTCTTGCATCAGCCGCCCAGGTGCTGGGATTACGGGGTGTGCCCCGCCCCCGCTTAATATTGGCTCTTGTTGTGAGATGCATACTAAAACTGAGTTTAACGTGTAAAGTTGTTGTTGTACAATAGGTGCCTCATAAATAATTATCACACAAGCTTAGGAGATATCATCTTCCAGTAGGAAAGAAAGTATCTACTTCAAGGATGCTGTTTTATTTATTTCATTTTCCTAGTCCTGAATAAAATCATACCAAAAATTCTCTAAATTCCCACTGAGAACTCCCAAGTCATAGATTAATAAAGTAGAAAAATAATCTTTTTCCAGACTCATTTTTCAAAATAGTCAGCAGCTACAGAAAGAAAATGGATTCTTGGGGCCAACGAGAGAACTCAGCAGTCTAAAGCGCCTGCGTAGGCAAGCGCGCAGGAACTGCTGTTCAATCCCCAGCGTCACATGCTGTGCTAGCCCCACTCCAGGGTGGGCTGAGTCAGCCACAAAAGAAAAAAAAAAAAAGATTCTTCATAAATCACAAAGCTAGTCCCCAGCAGGGGCAGAGCTGGAGCTCAGGCTTTCTGAATTCCAGGAAGATCCTTTTCTGCTACATTGCAGTGCTCTCTTCTGCACCAAAGGCGCTTAGAGGGAGCATCAGGCCACATTTCCCTGCGAGATGCACAGCACGACTTACCTGAAAATGCCTGAGCCATAAAAGATGGTGACCACAAGGACATGAGATGAGCAGGTGGAGAAGATCTTGCTCCAGCCTGTGGCAGAGTTGATACTCAGGGCTGTCATGATGATACGGCTGTAGGAACCCAGCAAAGTGACAAGAGTGCCAGGGCCTAGGACCGCCACAGTGGTCAGGATGGAGGCGATACTACTGCAGGGGTCAGAGCAGGCCAACAAAAGCACTGGCGGGAGCTCACAGGCAAAACTGTGGATGAGGTTGGGGCCACAGAATGCTGCTGAGCTAGAACGAGAGTGTTCATCAGGCTGGCGCTGATTCCCATGGCCCAGCACGCAGCCACCAGGTTGGCACACACCCTTCTGTTCATGGCTACCGCATACAGCAGTGGGTGGCACACAGCCTGGAACTGGCCATGGGCCATGACAGAAAGGAGGCAGGCTTCAGTGGACCCTGAAAACAGGACTAGGGAAAGCGGGGTGAAACACCCGTAGGAGGATATTGTCTTCCTCTTAGAAAGCAGGCTTTCTAGCAGCTTAGGCACAATGACTGAGGAATAGAGAGTATCCAGGGAGAGGGAGAGATGGCTCAGGAAGAAGTACATGGGAGTGTGGAGATGGGAGTTGGTAGAGCTAATTAGCATTATTAGCAGGTTTCCCGTGAGCATCAAAAGGTAGATGACTAAGAATATCACAAAGAGTAGTACTTGGACCTGAGGCTTGTTGGATAGTCCCAGGAGAACAAACACAGTGACTGAAGTCTTATTGGCAGCTTCCGTGGAGCATTCAGAAGTCCCTCCAGAAGGACGAGAGTTGACAAGAATGCACAAATGGCTTATGCGTATGAGACTGTATCTGCAAATTAGACATTGTGAGAGGCTTCGGGACTGATCTGGGACAGGTTGTGCTGCAGTGGCAGCCCTGCCCTGTCATCCCTTGGCAGCACCTACCAGCTCCAGGCAGGAACCTCTTGGCC